TGGTTTCCCCAAGGAACATTTTCAGTTAGAGGGGGCATAGGAGGAGGAGGGGCTAAAGGGGTTGTGGGGTAAAAGAGAAAGATACAAGGCAGCATCATATTAATATTATAAATAATAATAAATAACAATATATTATTATAACATAAAATACTGTATATATAATAATTTAAATATATAATGCAATAAAAAATATTTAATAAAAAGCTTTAACATAAACATATTTTTTTTAAAAAAAAAAAGCGTTAACATATTAGAAGATACATTACATACATAACAATATATTATAATATAAAATACTGTATATATAATCATAAATATATAATGTAATAAAAAATTTAAAAAAATCTTTCACATAAAAATATTTTTTTAAAAATAAAGCGTAAACATATTAGAAGATTACATAAATAACAATATATTATTATAATATAAAATACTGTATATATAGTGTATTAAAAAAAATTTAAAAGAAGCTTTAACCTAAAAATATTAAAAAAAAATAAAGCATTAACATATTAGAAGGTACAGTACATAAATAACAATATATTATTATATAAAATACTGTATATATAACATAAATATATAATGTAATAAAAATATTTTAAAGAAAGCTTTAACATAAAAATATTTTTTTTAAAAATAAAGCATGAACATATTAGAAGATACAGTACATAAATAATATATTATTATAATATAAAATACTGTATATATAATATAAATATATATTGTAATAAAAAATATTTTAAAAAAAGCTTTAACATAATATTTTTTTAAAATAAAGCACTAACATATTAGAAGATACAGTACATAAATAACAATATATTATAATATAAAATACTGTATATATATATATATATATATATATATATATATATATATATATATATATAAATATATAATGTAATAAAAACAAAAAAACAAAAAAAGGTTTAACATAAAAATTATTTTTTTAAATAAATTATTAACATAATAGAAGATACAGTACATACATAATATATTATACTATAAAATACTGTATATATATTAATATATAATGTAATAAAAAAAGTTTAAAAAAAAAGCTTTAACATAAAAATATTTTTAAAAAATAAAGCGTTAACATATTAGAAGATACAGTACATAAATAACAATATGTTATTATATATATAAAATACTGTATATATAATAATATAAATATATATTGTAATAAAAATATTTAAAAAAAAAGCTTTAACATAAAAATATTATTTTTTAAATAAAGCATTAACACATTAGAAGATACAGTACGTTATATAAAATATATATAATGTAATATAATTTCTTTTTTAAATTAAAAAGATTTAAAAAATTAAAAATCATGAAATTGAGCAGTCAGCTCCTTTATGCACTAGAGGTGCCATCAGCCATGGTCACCATTCACTTCCTGAAGTTGCCAGCTCAGATATGACACCATAATGTAAGTGAGGGGTAGGATCAGAATAAAGTGCCAGGACTGGGGGGAACTCCAGGAAATAACCATAAATAACTTTTTTGTTATTGGTTTTTTTTTCATTAAGAAAACTTTGAATTGTAAAGATTTCATGTAAACAGTAATAGTCCACATGGCCAAGGAGTTGGTGTAACGATCATCAAATTGAGTGATCAACTCCTTTATGCACCACTAGAGGTGCCATCATCTAGGGTCACTATCTACTTCCTGAAGTTGCCAGCTCAGATATGACACCATAATGTAAGTGAGGGGTAGGATCAGAATCAAGTGCCAGACATGTGCCAGACAAGTGCCAGACATGAAAGACGTGCTGAAGAGGTTACAATTTGCCAAAAAGCACATTGACTGACCTAAAGAGAAATGGCGCAACATTTTGTGGACTGATGAAAGTAAGATTGTTCTTTTTGGGTCTAGTGGCCGGAGACAGTTTGTCAGACGACCCCCAAAAACTGAATTCAAGCCACAGTACACTGTGAAGACAGTGAAGCATGGTTGCACAAGCATCATGATATGGGGATGTTTCTCATACTACGGTGTTGGGCCTATTTATCCATACCAGGGATCATGGATCAGTTTGAATACATCAGAATACTTGACTTGGCTGCATTAACAAGGCCTTTGGGTCTGGAACGACCCATTTTCCTCAGAATTTCAAAGAGAAATGCACTGTAACCAGCATGTACAACATTTGCTGCCTTCCTTCCTTAAATAAGGGCAATAATTGCCACCTGTTTTTCAAAGAATGAATGACCTCACTAACTCCACACTGCTATTATTTTGAACATGCCCCTTTCAATTAGTGATTCAATTACACAGAATCAGCAGCATGCATGTCATGACTGTTGGGTCTGTTGGATTTCTATTACTCGACTACACCTGCTAGTAAATTATTTGCCATGTAGAAATATAATTTCCACCAAAAACAGTGATCAGGTTAGTGATGTCTGACTGCTATTATTTTGAACACATCTATATGTCTGAGTAATCCAGTATCCTGGTTTGTTTTAATTTTATTATTTTATTTTTTACATAGAAACGTGTGTTGTGTTTTTTAATAAGGAAGTCCAGCACTAGGTCTGTGCTCATTGACTGAAAAAGTAGATATCTAGGGAAAACAAGGTTTTCCTTGACTTCATTCAGCTATGCATGAATAATCCAGTATCCTAATTCATTTTAATTTTTATTTTTTTTTCATAGAAACATTTTTGCAGGGTTTTCTAATAAGAATGTCCAGCACTAGTTCTGCACTTATTAACTGAAAAATTAGATATCTCAGAAAAGTGGGGTGTTCCTTGACTTCATTCAGCTAAGTGTGCATAATCCAGTATCCTGATTTGTGTTAATTAACATTGTTATTATTTTATTTTTACATAGAAACGTGTGTTGTGTTTTTTAATAAGAAAGTCCAGCACTAGTTCTGCACTTATTGACTGAATAATTCGAGATCTTAGGAAAAGCGGGTTGTTCTCCGACTTCGTTCAGCTATGCATGAATAATCTGGTATCCTGATTTGTTTTAATAACTTTTTTTTTTTTCTACATGTGTTGTGCATTCAAATAAGAAGGTCAAGCACCAGTTCTGCATGTATTGACTGAAAAATTAGATATCTAGGGAAAGCGAGGTGTTCCTTGACTTCATTCACCTATGCATGAATAATCCAGTATCCTAATTCGTTTAAATTTTTTTTTTTCATAGAAACATTTGTGACCGGTTTTCTAATAAGAAAGTCCAGCACTAGTTCTGCACTTATTGACTGAAAAATTAGATATCTGGGAAAAGTGGGGTGTTCTTTGACTTCATTCAGCTAAATGTGCATAATCCAGTATCCTGATTTGTGTTAATTAATATTGTTATTATTTTACTTTTACATAGAAACGTATATTGTGTTTTTTAATAAGAAAGTCCAGCACTAGTTCTGTACTGATTAACTGAAAAATTAGAGATCTAGGGAAAGCAAGGTTTTCCTTGACTTCATTCACCTATGCATGAATAATCCGGTATCCTGATTTGTTTTATTTTTTTTTTTTGTTTTTTTACATAGAAACATATGTGCCAGGTTTTTTATTAAGAAAGCTCAGCACTAGGTCTGCACTTATTGACTGAAAAAGTAGATATCTAGGGAAAGCGAGGTGTTCCTTGACTTCATTCACCTATGCATGAATAATCCAGTATCCTAATTTGTTTTAATTTTTTTTTTTCATAGAAACATTTGTGACAAGTTTTCTAATAAGAAAGCCCAGCACTAGTTCTGCACTTATTGACTGAAAAATTAGATATCTGGGAAAAGCGGGGTGTTCTTTGACTTCATTAAGCTATGCATGAATAATCTGGTATCCTGATTTGTTTTAATAACTTTTTTTTTTTACATAGAAAAATGTGTTGTGCATTAAAATAAGAAGGTCTAGCACTAGTTCTGCACTTACTGACTGAAAAATTAGATATCTAGGGAAAGCGAGGTGCTCCTTGACTTCATTCACCTATGCGTGAATAGTCCAGTATCCCAATTTGTTTTAAATATTATTGTGATTATTTTATTTTTACATAGAAACGTGTGTTGTGTTTTTTTAATAAGTCCAGCACTAGTTCTGTACTCATTGACTGAAAAATTAGATATCTAGGGAAAACGAGGTTTTCCTTGACTTCATTCACCTATGCATGAATAATCCGGTATCCTAATTCGTTTTAATTTTTTTTTTTTTTTCATAGAAACATATGTGCCAGGTTTTTTAATAAGAAAGCTCAGCACTAGTTTTGCACTTAGTGACTTTGACTCCGTTCAAAAATAAGATAATTACTAAGAAAAAAATAAGGGGTGTTCTTTGACTAAGAAAATCCTTTCAGCTATGCATGAGTAATCCGGTGAAAAATGACATACGATATCTCAGGAGTCCACCCCTCCCATTTTTGTAAATATTTGATTTTATCTTTTCATTTGACAACACTGAAGAAATGACACTTTGCTACAATGTGAAGTAGTCAGTGTACAGCTTGTATAACATGTAAATTTGCTGTCCCCTCAAAATCACTCAACACACCGCCATTAATGTCTAAACCGCTGGCAACAAAAGTGACTCCACCCCTAAGTGACAAGGTCCAAATTGGGCCCAATTAGCCATTTTCCCTCTCTGGTGTCATGTGACTCATGTTACAAGGTCTCAGGTGTGAATGGGGAGCAGGTGTGTTCAATTTGGCGTTATCGCTCTCACTCTCTCATACTGGTCACTGGAAGTTCAGCATGGCCCCTCATGGCAAAGAACTCTCTGAGGAAAAAGAGATCTGAAAAAAAGAATTGTTGCTCTACATAAAGATGGCCTAGGCTATAAGAAGATTGCCAAGACCCTGAAACTGAGCTGTAGCACGGTGGCCAAGACCATACAGCGGTCGAACAGGACAGGTTCCACTCACAACAGGCCTCGCCCTGGTCCACCAAAGAAGAGTGCACGGTGGAGAACACCTTAAAGGAGCACACACACACACACAAACGCATACAAGAATATTTTACAAAATTGACTTTATTTTATTATTAAAAATTAAATGTCTGACCCCCGGGAGCTCCACTGTCTAATAATTCATTGGAGTACAAAAACTTCTGTTCTCTCTGTTCCAAAAGGTGGCTCCCACCGGCGTGCGTCTGTTCATGTTTGGTCAGGTGATATCTGAACGTGAAACACTTTCCGCACTCTGCGCAGGAGAATGGTTTACTGTGAACCCTCCGGTGGCTGTTGAGCAGAGACTTATTGGCGAAGCATTTCCCACACACCGAACACGGGAACGGCTTATAGTCGGAGTGAAGCTTCAAGTGCCGGTTGAGAACGGACTTGGAGGTGTAAAATTTTCCGCACTCCGGACAAGAAAACGGTTTATAGTCAGAGAAAACTCGCTCGTGATGCTGATAGAGGACTACCTGATCCACCAAACTCTTCTCACCTTCAGAGCAGGAATACGGTTTCTCCTCGGCGTGAAGTCTCTCGTGATTCAGAAGACAGCTCTTCCCTGAAAGCCGTTCTCCACATTCAGAACATTCAAGGAGTCCCTCGCTGGAGTAAACCCTCTGGTGCTCGGCGCCCTGGTTGAACCTCGCCCTGCCCTCAGTGGGCTGGTAAGGCCGATCTTTGCTGTGGGTGAGCCGATGCCTGAAGAGATTGGACTCCACCGTAAAACATCTTCCGCATTCAAAACAGACGTGCGTCAGCTTGACGATGTCCGTCCTCCTGGGTTGAGGGAGGCCTTCATGCTGCGTCAGGCATCTCCCACAATCCGGACATAAATATGGCACTTTGGGTGTGGTTGACTTATGCTGGCCAGGAGGTAGTTTCAGCAAGAACCATTTCGCGCATGCCGAGCAAAAAAAAGGCTCAACGACCCCGTGGGTTTGGGTATCTGCAGTGTCGACAAGCACCAGGCCATAGGCTGAGGCATCAGGGGATCTACTTGCTCTGGAGAGTCCGGGATTGATGTCTGGGGAAAGACTATACAATCTGTCCAGATAAGGTTCCTCAGGATTAGAGGGATCTGGCGATCTATCCACACTATGGAATCCTGGATGAAGATCGTTGCTAAAGGAGTCTTCTCCTGGAGAACCATCTACAAGGTCATCGTATTCTGGAGTGGAGGAAAGATGTTCCTCTGAGCTCATGCTGGTCCTCTGCTCCCCTCCTGGAAAAAAAAAGGATGGATTATTCTCTTTATTAGGGTTGATTCCGAGTACGTGGACAAATGTTCCTGATGCTGAAACCGATGCTTTTGCAGTGTGATTTGAGCCCATACAAAATGAACGGTCTCAAATCGCACTGCAAGGAAATGCATGAGATTTGAACTGGAGTGCTGGGCTATTCCTGTCCGAATCACATGTGGTTTCCTGCAGGGCTCCTGTGTGAGCCCAGGCTTGTCGTAGCGACTTTGAGACCGAGTTCACACAGGAGCATTGTGGGAAACATCCCTGCATGATGGGTTCCAGCAGCCCAGGCTCCCGATCCCACTGTGAAAATCAGAGATTGCTGCTTGGGCTCCTTCTGCCTCTCCCCCCCACCCAGCCTCCAGCAGCTCTCTTCCCCCCAGCCTCCAGCAGCTCCTCCCCCCCTCCCCAACGGCTCTCTCCTCCCAGCCTCCAGCGGCTCTCTCCCCCCCAGCCTCCAGCGTCTCTCCCCCCTCCAACAGCTCTCTCCCCCCAGCCTCCCTCTCCCCTCCAACAGCTTTCTCCCCCCAGCCTCCAGCGTCTCTCTCCCCCCAGCCTCCTGCGTCTCTCTCCCCTCCAACAGCTCTTTCCCCCCCAGCCTCCAGCGGCTTTCTACTCTCCAAAAGCTCTCTTTCCAGCCTCCAGTGGCTCTCTTCTCTCCAGCAGCTCTCTTTCCAGCCTCCAACGTCTCTCTCCCCCCAGCCTCCAGCAGCTCTCTCCTCCCAGCCTCCAGCGTCTCTCTCCCCCCCCCCAGCCTCCAGCGACTCTCTCCCCTCCAACAGCTCTCCCCCCCACCCCCCGGCTCTCTCCCTTCCAGCAGCTCTCTCCCCCCCCAGCCTCCAGCGGCTCTCTCCCCCCCAGCCTCCAGTGGTTCCCATCCATCCACTGGACTCACTACCCATCCCCCTGGTCCTGCTGTACCAGACTGCAGACATCCCCCCCCCCCCCCCCCCCCCGCTGTCAGACGATGAAAAGCAGCTTTAGAGGTCCAGGGATTTGAAATCCCCGTGGCTCTCTCCTCTCCTTCCAGGACTGACAGTATGGCCCAGACGGCTTCTGATTGGTCAGCACCATCCATGTGAGGTTTCCCGCACGGCTCCTGACTCAAAGTCACTATGGCAAGCCTGGGTTGGCACAGCAGCTGTGGAAGAAACGGCATGCAATTTGGACAGGGATTTCACGGCATTCTTGTTCAAATCACATGCAATTCTTTGCAGTGCAGTTTGAGCCAATTCATCTTGTATGGGTTCAAATCGCACCACAAGAGGTATCAGTAATCGATAATGGCGAGCACTTGACCAAAAGTATCGGTACTCGTATTTTCCGGTATCGGTGCATCCCTACTTTTTATGGATTTAGTGTTTATTCCTCACCTGCTCCGATCTCCCTACGCCTTCTTACACAGCCCATCACCCCTCATCTCATAACATTCGTCTCTTCTTCATCTATAGCTTCGTATTCTAGGAAGGTGTTCTTCTGGGACGCCAGTGGAAGGACAGGAGGAGAGTTTTCCCTCTTGCTTTGGTCTCTTCCTGAAGGCTCCTACACTCCTCTCGGCAGAACCCTGAGTAGAACCTAACTCTAGAGGTCACAAATGGTACCACAACTTAACTGTACTGATCCTTCTCCCTGCCCCAAGAAGAGATTGTTGTAGGGACTGAACAAGGAGGATATGGGACTCTTCTCTGGATATAGTGTTTATTCCTCACCTGGGCTGACCTCTGGAGGAACTTCCTCCTCCTTACATGGCTCATAGCCGGAGTCTAATAGAGGCTGATGGCTCCTGATCCCCCACTGGGTACATACTGTCCCCCCATTACTGTCTACTGACAGAGGAGGGGGGAGAAGAAGAGATGGTTGTAGTGACTGAACAAGGAGGATCTGGGACTCTTCTCTGGATTTAGTGTTTATTCCTCACCTGGGCTGATCTCTGGAGGAACTTCCTCCTCCATACATGGTCCATAGCTGGAGTCTAATAGAGGCTGATGGATCCTGACTCCCCCACTGGGCACATATTGTCTCCCCCTTACTGTCTACTGACTCCCCCACTGGGTACATACTGTCCCCCCATTACTGTCTACTGACAGAGGAGGGGGGAGAAGAGATGGTTGTAGTGACTGAACAAGGAGGATCTGAGACTCTTCTCTGGATTTAGTGTTTATTCCTCACCTGGGATGATCTCTGGAGGAACTTCCTCCTCCATACATGGTCCATAGCTGGAGTCTAATAGAGGCTGATGGCTCCTGACTCCCCCACTGGGTACATACTGTCCCCCCATTACTGTCTACTGACAGAGGAGGGGAGAGAAGAAGAGATGGTTGTAGGGACTGAACAAGGAGGATCTGGGACTCTTCTCTGGATTTAGTGTTTATTCCTCACCTGGGCTGATCTCTGGAGGAACTTCCTCCTCCATACATGGTCCATAGCTGGAGTCTAATAGAGGCTGATGGCTCCTGACTCCCCCACTGGGCACATATTGTCTCTCCCCTTACTGTCTACTGACTCCCCCACTGGATACATACTGTCCCCCCCATTACTGTCTACTGATAGAGGAGATGGGAGAAGAGATGGTTGTAGTGACTGAACAAGAAGGATCTGGGACTCTTCTCTGGATTTAGTGTTTATTCCTCACCTGGAGGGATCTCCTCCTCCTTACATAGCTCTTAGCCAGAGTCTAATAGAGACTGATGGTTCCTGACCCCCCCACTGGGCACATACTGTCTCCCCATTACAGGGAGAAGAAGAGATGGTTGTAGTGACTGAACAAGGAGGATCCGGGACTCTTCTCTGGATTTAGTGTTCCTCACCTGGGCTGATCTCTGGAGGGATCTCCTCCTTCTTCGTATATTGCCCATCATCCCTCAGATACAGCTCTTCTTCATCACTTTCCACTTTAACAACGATCAAGTGGTCCTCCTGCATCATAAAACCAATGTGTTATCCTACATCATGAGCGAAACTCTGAGATTTTATTTGGATACAATGTCTCTGTATAGATCATATTGTGTATGACTGGTTGAGGTGGTCACAGGAAGGTGGGACATTTGATCTTTCTTGAAGGTGTTGCTACGTTCCCTGGACCTGACCGACCTTTCGTGGGCAGCAGGTGAAGGCGGGTCACAAGAGGAAGGATTCTCTCTGGATTGTGTGCTATATGGCAGTATGGTGTGACAAATCCATCTACCTCAAAATCTTGAAGATCCTTGTGATGTTCCTGTGTGGGGTCCCGGGAATACAGAGGACGGGGACATCTCTCTGGTGGGTTCCCATTACTGGATCCATCTGTAGGAAACACACACACTGACTGAATCCATTGTGTCTATGTGTTTATATCAGATGATGGGGGATCTAGGTGGACCCTCACTACAAGAAATGAAAGTCTCCTCTTACCATGTGATGGGAGGGGCAGCCGGTTCTCCATGATGACGTCCTTGTAGAGGTCCTTGTGTCCTTCTATATACTCCCACTCCTCCATGGAGAAATAGACAGTGACATCCTGACACCTTATAGGAACCTGACACACACAATGAGACAGTCACCATCCCGACACATCCCTTGTCTGTTACTGGAGAATGTCCCAGAATTCCCGGCACCACTCACCTCTCCTGTTAGTAGCTCGATGATCTTCTGGGTGACTTCTAGAATCTTTTTGTCGTTTTTCCCAGGTGTCAGCAGTGCAGAAGGAGGTACTGTGAAAGGGCTTTGGGTCCTGCTCCATTTTCTAGACATAGGGGGATAAATGTCCCTCTCAAGTGATGAAGTCTTCACCAGTGAATAATTCTAAATAAAAAGTAGCAACCACTATAATCACTATAATTTTCCCACAATCCTCCTCACCTCTCTGGTCAGGTCTGTGTTTTTTAATAGAGGTAAGAGTGACATCATGTGACCTCCCAGAATCCTCCTCACCTCTCCAGTCAGGTCTGCGTTTTATTAATAGAGATAAGAGTGATGTCATGTGACCTCCCAGAATCCTCCTCACCTCTCCGGTCAGGTCTGTGTTTTATTAATAGAGATAGGAGTGACATCATGTGACCTCCCAGAATCCTCCTCACCTCTCCGGTCAGGTCTGTGTTTTGTTAATAGAGATGAGAGTTATGTCATGTGACCTCCCAGAATCCTCCTCACCTCTCCGGGCAGGTCTGTGATTTATTAATAGAGGTAAGAGTGACATCATGTGACCTCCCAGAATCCTCCTCACCTCTCCGGTCAGGTCTGTGTTTTATTAATAGAGGTAAGAGTGATGTCATGTGACCTCCCAGAATCCTCCTCACCTCTCCAGTCAGCTCTGTTATTTATTATTAGAGATGAGAGTGATGTCATGTGACCTCCCACAATCCCCCTCACCTCTCCGGTCAGCAGGTAGACGATCTCCAGGGTGAGGTCTAATATCGCATTAACGTGACTCTTAGTTTTCTCCATCTTCAGCGAGTCAGTCTGAAGATCTAAAGACAATTCCAACAATTGCAATGAAATAACTCAGAGAAGTTATTAAAGGGTTAGCCCAGCGTAATCTGAACTCTCAGTGTTTGGTTGATATTGGCGAGCTAACCCACCTGACATTTCCTACTATCTCTAGGTGACTGGATTGGTGAGATCTCTGCATACCCGGGTCTGTACACCTGCTGCACCCATGAGGGGTTCTCACCATCCCTGTGCTGATTTCCTCGGTCTGCACACCCTCTGTGCCAATTATGAGGGGTTCCCACCATCCCTGTGCTGAGTTCCTGGGTCTGCACACCCTCTGTGCCCATTATGAGGGGTTCCCACCTTCCCTGCTGCAATTTTTATTTCCTAGCAAATGTGCCCATTCCTACAACAGCCAATTTGTAACAGGGAAATGTCCCACGTGTGGACATCAATGTATTACAATGAGTAAGAAAGTCAGTCCCCCATGTAGAACATGAATAAGAAGTCCATCATTAGACTCCCCACCCTCCTGGCATTGATTATCAGACCGTTAAATGTGGCATTTTATTGTCCTTGTGTGCTCTGAGTTGTGCTCATGTTTTCAGTTTGTGTGCTGTGATGAGTGTGTTCTGTGTGTGTCTGCTGGTCTTGACTGCATGTGAGGATGTGCTATAACTCTGTGTGTGCCCGGACCGTGTGTGTGTACCCAGACTGTATGTGTGCCCAGACCGTGTGTGTGCCCGGACCATGTGTGTGCCCGGACCGTGTGTGTTCACAGACCATATGTGTGCCCGGACCGTGTGTGTGTACCCACACTGTATGTGTACCTGGACTGTGTGTGTGCCTAGGCCATGTGTGTACCCGGACCGTGTGTTTGTGTGCCCAGACCGTATGGGTGCCCGGACTGTGTGTGTTCCCAAACCATGTGTGTGCCCGGACCATGTGTGTGTACCTAGACTGTATGTGTGCCCGGACCATGTGTGAGTGTGTACCCAGACCGTATGGGTGCCTGGACCGTGTGTGTTCCCAGACCGTGTGTGTTCCCAGACCATATATTTGCCCGGACCGTGTGTGTGTTCCCAGACCATGCATGTGCCCGGACCGTGTGTGTGTACCCAGACTGTATGTGTGCCTGGTATGGGTGCCCGGACCCATATGTATGCCCGGACCGTGTGTGTGCCCAGACCGTATATGTGTGCCCGGACCGTGTGTGTTCCCAGACCATGTGTGTACCCGGACCGTGTGTGTGCCCAGACCGTATGGGTGCCCGGACCATATGTGTGCCTGGACCGTGTGTGTTCCCAAACCATGTGTGTGCCCGACCTGTGTGTGTTCCCAGACCATGTGTGTGCCCGGACTGTGTGTGTACCCAGACTGTATGTGTACCCAGACTGTATGTGTACCCAGACTGTATGTGTGCCCGGACCGTGTGTTTGCTCCACGAATAGTCATGTCTGCCTTTATTGTATGTGTGCCAGGACTGTTGTGTGCTCAATGTGTGTGTGTGTCTGCTTTGACTGCATGTGTTAATGGAATGTGTGTGTGTGCTTTAAATATGTGTGTCTGGATTGACTGTATGTGCGCCCAGACTCTGTGTGTGTGTTCTAAGTGTTTGTGTCATTCTTGACCATATGTGTGCTCCACATGTGTGTGTACTCTATGTGTGTCTGCCTGTATGCATACCCAGAATGTGTGTGTGTTCTAAGTATATGTCTGTTTGCCTTGGCTGTATGTGTGTGCTCTAAGCATGTGTGTCTGGATTGACAGTATGTGTTCCCAGACTCTGTATATGTACTCTATGTGTGTCTGCTCTGACTGTATGTTTGCCCGGAGTGTGTGTGCTCTAAATGTGTGTTTGTCTGCCTTGACTGTGTGCGTGCCTAGAATATGCGTGTGCTCCAAGTATATGTGTCTGGATTGACTGTATGTGTTGTCAGACTCTGTGTATGTACTCTACATGTGTGTGTGTCTGCTTTGACCGTGTGTGCTCTAAATGTGTGTATGTTTGCCTTGACTACATGTGTGCCGGGACAGTATGTGTGCTCTAAATGTGTGTATGTTTGCCTTGACTATATATGTGCTGGAATCATGTGTGCTCTAAATGTGTGTATGTTTGCCTTGACTATATATGTGCTGGAATCATGTGTGCTCTAAATGTGTGTATGTTTGCCTTGACTACATGTGTGCCGGGACAGTGTGTGTGCTCTAAATGTGTGTATGCTTGCCTTGACTATATATGTGCTGGGATCGTGTGTGCTCTAAATGTGTGTATGTTTGCCTTGACTACATGTATGCCGGGACCGTGTGTGTGCTCTAGGCACCCTGGTATGACCATAAAGAAGGGAAAGGCAGAATCAGAGGAAGAAGAATATAACGGGTGGGATGCAAACTGAGATGTAGAGCAGACAGAGAGGGGCTACATTTCCCAGGGCTGTGTGCAGATCCCTCCAGTGCTGCTGAGTGGAGGGAGCAGTACGAAGGAGAGCAGAGAGCTGTAGGTGTAAATCTGAGTGTGTGAGGCCCCCAGGTTCTCCTCTCCCTTTATATCCTATTACAGAGAGTGGGACAGGAGGAGCCAAAACACACAAACATGGGCGGGGACAAACAAATGTGGGCGGAGACACCCAGAGCTCCCAGGTGTGCAGGAGCAGAGTCAGGAGATCATATTGACGGGGTGTCGATGACCTACAACAAGCCCGGAAGTTGAGTCAGCCCACCCAGCTCCACCTGTATCCAACACATCACTTCTTGAAGGCCTGACCGTACCAGTACGCCGCCTCCATCCTCCCCCCAGACCCTGACTAGGATGTTGTCATACCATGTGTCCATCCCACTGGGGTCCTGAGGTTTCCAAGCAAAGCTAGCGCCCCCTACCTGTATGCCGTACACTTCCAGGGAACCTGCGCTGTCATCTATACAGAGGTCACTGTCGATTAATGGCTGCCGTGGTGGAGTCGCTGACCTGGAAGGAGCAGGCAGATCGGGAGTCGCTGCTTCTCCTTCACTGGCCACGTGCTTATTCCGGGACACTGGTTAATGCAGCGCTGAGGGCAAGAGCAGCCAGGAAAGCACCATTTCCTACTCCTATATATCTGTGTGTGCTGCCACAGGCATTCATAGGGCTGGCTGATAGACATAAACACACATCTCTCTATCACACTTTCTACTTACCCCAGCACTATATTACACTTACTGCCCTCCTTGTAACCCAAATCAATGATAATAATAATAAACAGGAACATAGGAACACCATTACCAGCTTTGAACACACATCAGCTGCAAGCTGTCTTCTGTTGTCCCCGACGGAAGTTGCTAATAAAGCTCTTCCTGCCTCCTGGGTCAGCTGACGTTGTGCGTTCCAACGGACGGTTTGCAATGCTGCCACCTGACGGCCGGAAGTGGCAACTGCACATCGCTGGTGCTGCAATGGGAGTTGCATTGGTGGAGGCAAGTGTAATGGTGTAGGATGCCACCATCTAGTGGCTGAATAGGGAACTGCAACTAGGAATAGATGAAGCGTTCGTCCATCTATTTTTTTTTCATCTGGGAGGACTTTTTTTTTTTTCTATTTGGTCAGTCTTGAAAAAGAGAAATGCCCCCAATATTTAAAGCTTTTTTTAAAAAATGTTTCTGTCTATATAATTTTGGATTAGGTTGTTTCTTTGCACTTTTTCCTAAATTAAAGCAGTACTCTGCATTTTTTTTTTTTGGGGGGGGGGGGGGTTAGCTTAGAACACTGCATATAATATACTATTTGATATTCCCTGGAAACCACCGTGACTTGGGCTCCTGGAGGGGCCCAGGGGCCAGACTTCTTCCCACCGACTATGGACCCAAGACTAAGGAGACCTCCCTCTTGGGGTTACAAGGAACCTGGAGGCCAGCCTCCATTTTACCAACTATGGACCCAGGACTAAGGAGACCCCCCTGTTGGGGTTACAAGGAACCTGGAGGCCAGCCTCCTTTTTGCCAACTATGGACCCAGGACTAAGGTGACCCCCCCGTTGGGATTACAAGGAACCTGGAGACCAGCCTCCTTCCCACCGACTATGGACCCAGGACTAAGGAGACCCTCCCTCTTGGGGTTACAAAGGAACCTGGAGACCAGCCTTCTTCCCACCAACTATGGACCCAGGACTAAGGAGACCTCCCTTTTGGGTTATATAGAACCTGGAGGCCAGCCTCCTTCCCACCGACTATGGACCCAGGACTAAGGAGACCCCCCTTTTGGGGTTATACAGAACCTGGAGGCCAGCCTTCTTCCCACCAACTATGGACCCAGAACTAAGGAGACCCCCCTGTTGCAGTTACAAGGAACCTGGAGGCCAGCCTCCTTCCTACCGACTATGGACCCAGAACTAAGGAGACCCCCCCTCTTGAGGTTATACAGAACCTGGAGGCCAGCCTCCTTCCCACCTACTATGGACCCAGGACTCAGGAAACCCTCCCTGTTGGGGTTACAAGGAACCTGGAGGCCAGCCTCCTTCCCACCGACTATGGACCCAGGACTCAGGAGACCCTCCCTGTGGGGGTTACAAGGAACCTGGAGACCAGCCTCCTTCCCACCGACTATGGATCCAGGACTAAGGAGACCCCTCTTTTGGGATTATACAGAACCTGGAGGCCAGCCTTCTTCCCACCGACTATGGACCCAGGACTAAGGAGACCCCCCTCTTGGGTTATACAGAACCTGGAGGCCAGCCTCCTTCCCACCAACTATGGACCCAGGACTAAGGAGACCCCCCTTTTGGGGTTATACAGAACCTGGAGGCCAGGCTTCTTCCCACCGACTATGGACCCAGGACTAAGGAGACCCCCCTTTTGGGGTTATACAGAACCTGGAGGCCAGCCTTATTCCCACCAACTATGGACCCAGGATTAAGGAGACCCCCCTGTTGGGATCACAAGGAACCTGGAGACCAGCCTCCTTCCCACCAACTATGGACCCAGGACTAAGGAGACCCCCCTTTTGGGGTTATACAGAACCTGGAGACCAGCCTCCTTCCCACCAA